CTGTCAACTGTTCAACTGCACATAGATTAAAAATCTTTGCACCATCTTCATTGTCAATATTCACATTTTTGGCACATGTACCTTGCTTCATAGTAACGCTACTACCTTGAAGAGCCTGAACATACAACTGTTCAAGAGCACAGACACCGCTAACTGTGCCACCGTTATTCGCATAAACACTGGTCGCGTACGTGCATGATTTAAATTTGCGTTCCATCAAGAGCATTGATAGACATTTGTTCAGTAGCACAAAGGTTTTGAACTATCGCCCCTGATGAAGCGGAGACATTAGTAGTTTTCGGGCAAAATGCTGAGTTAATAACAACACCAACCCGACCAGAGATAGTCATGGTTAAGAGTTGAGTCGCACAAACATTGATGAACTGATTTCCATTAGGAAGTCCAGCTAGGGCATTAATAGTTACTACAGACGGACATGATGATGACACAAGAGTAAGTGGTGTTCCACTGTTATCTTGAATAGAAAGCTGTTCCGAAGCACAAAGATTATAAATGTTAGCTTCTCCATTTTTATTAATTGTTACAGTTTTTGTACATGTGCCCGGCTGTAACGAAACAACAGCGCCACCATTAGTCACGATAGTCAGCAGTTCCGTGGCACACAGATTTGTAATTGATCCGCCTTCGTGTGCAGAAACCATGGTAACGAATGGACATGAGGACTGTTGGATCGCTTGGATGCTACTGGAACCGTCTGCATTGCCTGACAATTGTTCAACTGCACAAACATTGACGACGGCAGCGCTATTTTGACAGTTAATGTTCGTTACTTTCGGACATGGTGATGATAGATTGAAAGTAACTATACTTTCATCAGCGGCATTTATTATGACTTGTTCGGTCGCACACAGATTATTTACCTTAGCCACACCGTTAGTGTTAACACTTGCTGTTGAAGAACACGAACACGATGGATGCAGAGTAACAGTACTAAGATCAGCTGCACTGATGGACAACGAGTTCGATGCACATAGATTATCTACCGGAGCCTCATTTATAGTGTTAATATTTGCATTAGAAGAACAAGAAGACGACTGTGGCAACGTAACAGTACTAAGATGAGCTGCGCTGACGTACGATGACTGTGTCGCACATATGTTTTTTACTTTAGCTTCATTTGTTGTATAGAGGTACGAAGAAAATATTTTCGCTTTCTAATGTTTTTCAAGATCCTAAATGGGCACTCCCCACTTTCTCGATTGAGTCTAATTCGGTTAGATACAGCAAGACGATCAAACAGGTTAGCACAACGCTCAAAACAGGTAGGACGGAGACTGTTTTACAGTCTTTTTTATATCGAACAGCTCGAGATTGGAATCAAACTCTTTCAGAAGCAGCTGTCTCATCTACCACTATTAAAAGTTTTAAAATAAAATTAAGGCAACATCTCCAACTATGAAACGGGTAGCAAGGTTTATAGGTGCATCGCACATTTTTTGGTTTCCCGGTAACCGGTTTTTGATGTAAAGTAAAGGTTTCTGTTTTTATTGTATGCTTATCTGTGTTCACATGTTCAAACTGTCAGTCTTGTTGTTACCAAAATAAAAATCAATCAATCAATCAATCAATCAAGAGCTTGAATGACAAATTTTCTATACATTTTGTTTTTATTTATGACAGTCGTAGCCATTGGATATACGCCCGTATAGAGAGTCGTATATGCTTTACACATTATAACTATGGTCAAGAAGGAAAAAAGTTTTAAGTTATTCTAACTGTGAAAATATTCGCACTTATATTTACACAAGAGTGTAAAACAAAACGATGATTCAAGAGATTTTCAAGATCTTGGGTACAAGAAGTCAAGAAATTACAAGATGTTCAAGATCTTGACTTCTTGAAATTTCATGAATTCTTATATTTTCTTACCAAGATCGTGAATCAAGATCTTACTGAAAAAATTCAAGAAGTCAAGATCTTGTTTACAAGAAGTTTCACTAGGGTTGGGATTTTTCAATTTTTGTAGGAAAAACGTTTATTTGTGAGACTTCATGACATTTAGAAGTTCAGTGAGTTGTAACAGAATGGCGCTGCCAACACGTAAAAAACTCGCTTATTTTATAGTTTCTTAACTGAATAACAAATACTTGACGATTAGAGCCAAAACTCAGGAAAAAATCTATTCAGTTGATCCACTCCAAATTAGGTAAGTTCTAGTTTTTCTGACTTCCAAATTTTTTTTTGAAGCTGAGTTTATCATGAAGAGCGAGAAAAAGTTAGTTTTGAAACATTCAATTCTTCATTTGTTGTATAAACAGTCGCACTCCCAGTCGAACAGGAAGATGATTGTTGTAAAGTAACAGTACTGAGGTCAGCTGCTTTGATATATAACGGGTCAGATGCACATAGATTATTAACCTGAGATACATTATTAGTGTAAACATTAGCTGGATTTGGACATGCGCTTGTAGGGTTAATATTGACAGTTGCGAGATCACTCATAACGATGGA